TCAAAACAAGAATAGCTCAATTTCTCAAAAAAGCGTAATGTATAGAAATCAGATGATGTTTCGTGGGTGAATTGAGGAGAAAACTTATATACAATAACTTTTACAACAGAATATAGTTTGAAAAAATTAAGAACAATTGCAACTAGTGCTAATTGTAACGGGGACCGTTACAGATGTTCCCCAAACGCTCCTCAACTCCCTTTTGGTGCCATATTCCTTGTAAGCTTCATTAAATAAGACAAACTCTATGCATTTGAGACTTTAACAACATTTACCCAAAAGTGTACCAAGTTCATTCAAATTTTAGCATTGCACGCGTACGCATGTGAATGCATGTGCGTAATGACCATATCATCTTGTCTACACAATCTATATATTTTAATATACTAAATATTAAAGTGTTTAATCCAAAGGTATTTAAAAAATACGCTGATTCAAGTGTATTTTTGATTTTGTTCATTTCACGTGCACGCACGTGCATACATGAGCATGTTGACCATACCTTCTTGTAGAAGTCAATTACATCTATCTATGTTCTAAATCTCACCCCGTTTGGTATAAAACCAAGGGAGTTATAGCTGTTTAAAGTTTCAGCCAATCAGATTGCAGCGCACGTATACGCATGTGTATGCATGTGCATGGTCGCCATACCTTCTTTTGGTAGTCCATTATATCTATCTATGTTCCAAATCCCATCCTGTTTGGTTGAAAACCAAGGGAGCTATAGCTATTTAAAGTTTAAGCCAATCAGATTGCAGCGCACGTGCATGCACATGTTTTCATGATAATTGCTATATATCATGTTGTAGGATATTCTAATGCATTGTTATGTTCAAAATTTCAAAGGATTTCGTTAAAAAACAAGAAAGATATTGAGACTTTAGTTTCAGCCAATCAGAGCGAAGCGCACGTGCATGCGCGTGAGATCTTGCTATTTTGACCATGTCACATTGTCTATGCTACTAATATCCTTATATTATGAGTTTCAAAGCATTTCATCAAAAATGTAAAAAGTTACGCCTATATCAATTAAATCAGTCATTTCACGTGTTGCACGTGCACGCTCTTGCAAGCACGTGCGCGCAAAATGACCTTTGTTCCGCAAATCTACATAACATGTCTACTGACCCTAAAAAGGTTTTACCTAAGTCGGATGTGTAGTTTACAAGATCACTCCCGGACAAAAAAGTACCCAGGAAGAAGAAGAAAAATAATAATAACTAGTGCTAATTGTAACGGGGACCGTTACAGATGTTCCCCAAACGCTCCCCAACTCTCTTTTAGTTTCATATTCCCTGTAATATACTATATGTGAAAGCATTCAGTCCAAAAGTATTAAAAATCACTCATTCAAGTGTGTTTCTTATTTCATTCGATCCAAATGCACGCACGTGCAAGCACGTGCATGATGACCATACCTTCTTGTAGGAGTCCCTCATATTTATTTATGTTCTGAATCCCATCCTGTTTGGTTGAAAAACAAGGGAGTTATAGCCATTTCAAGTTTCAGCCAATCAGATTGCAGCACACGTGCATGCGCGTGATTTCATGATTATTTTTCTATATCGCATTGTAGGATATCCTAATGAATGATTATGTTTTAAATTTCAAAGCATTTCGTCAAAAAACAAAGGAGATATAGTCATTTAAAGTTTCAGCCAATCAGATCGCAGCACACGTGCATGCGCGTAATTTCTTGAAATTTTTTGTATATCATATTGCAGGGCATCCTAATGTATGACTAGGTTTCAAATTTCAAAGCATTTCGACAAAAAACAAAGGCGATATAGTCATTTAAAGTGTCAGCCAATCAGATTGCAGCACACGTGCATGCGCGTGATTTCATGAATTTTTTTCTATATCATATTGTAGAATATCGTGATTCATGACTATGTTTTAAATTTCAAAGCATTTCGTCAAAAAACAGAGAAGATACTGAGATTTTTGTTTTAGCCAATCAGAGCGAAGCGCACGTGCATGCGCGTGAGTTCGTGCTAATTTGACAGTATCACATTATGTACACTATTAATATATCCTTACATAATGAGTTTCAAAGCATTTCATCGAAAAATGTTAAAGTTATGGCTATCTTAAATATATTCGTCATTTCACTCATATCACGCGCCCGCACGTGCAGGCGTATGCGCGCAAAATGACCTTCGTTCCGCACACCTACACTACACACCTATTAACCCTAAAAAGGTTTTAGGTCAGTTGGGTGAACAGTTTCTGAGAACACTCGCGGACAAAAAAGTACCGGAGAACAAATAAGAAAAAAAATAATAATAATAACTAGATATGAAACTCGTTGCGAGCAACGATTGGTCTTCCGTCCTATTCCGGAAAGAAGACGTAAAATCGAGCTGAAAAAGTAAAAATAAATTTGCACACAAGGAGGATTAAACCCAAGTCGCTAGCATGAAATTCCAACGCACTAAATATTACGCTATCGGGACCTCTACTCTAAATCTACTTGTATATATTAACGAATATGCTTCTCTCTTAAAATTATGAAAGGCAGGTCACTATTCACAATATAGTGCCAAACGCCACGAGTTAATCTTCGCGCTTTTTCTTTGGAATGTTCTATTAAATAGGTGTGATAGCTTCAATGAAACTAAAAAAAAAAAGAACGTTCTTATAGCCTAAGATTCCAGATTTAGAAAGTATATTTAGCACATTTTAAAAATTCCATATTGTATATATGCATGTAACACTAAAGCGGTGAAACGGTTATGATTTTTTTTGTCAATTTCCTGTTGATCCCCAAAGTTAACTATCCCGATTAGTTAATTGGTAAAGGTTAAAACGTTTCGCCGAAAAACATGGCTCGCCCTCCGATGGTCAAGGAATCAGATATCATTTATGCTCAATAACTTGAATCAGGTCTTTGAAACAAGAATGCTAAAATAAACTTATTTATAGTTTAATATGACACAAGTGTGCATAGGAAAAACAGTGGTGAAGATTTATACTGACAATATTAATTGATATTCTTTTTTTAGAAAGTATTACTTATAAGTTTTCCGTGATATTAGGTATCGAATTTCATTTGCACATTGTGCGCAATCGTCTTTTCTTTTTCTACTTTGAAAACCAGCCAAAACCAATCATAGAAGACGTTAGTTTGACACAGAACTGCAACGAAACTACGACGTGACAATCCAAGTATTCCTTTACATTTCATTTATTCTTATGTTACTTTCGTTCAAGCAAACGCTCGGCTGCCTCCGTAAACCACTATTGCGAAATGTCGGCGTTGACAGAGACAGTCGCCATTTTGGACCCGCTTCAGATATTTGAATGCTAATATCTAGACTTTAGATATATTAACATTCAAACAAATTAAATAGTAAGCATTATACGGAGGGCTTCTACTACAATACCAAATATAAATGAAAAATACTGAAAAACAAAAAAGTTAGAAAATACGATTTTTAAAGTTTGTAATTCGTAACGACCGGAAGTACTGACGACGCACAAAAAGGTGATTCTGCAAACCAGAAAGTCATGATCTATCGTCTCCAATAAGTCTCCGTATCAGATACTTAGCCATTTTCGACAAAAAGGGGCGACAAAATCGCATTTTAAAATCAGGAAATTGTCCATAACTTGGCACCAGAAGCGAATTTTCCAAATTTCTCTTCGGATGTAACAACTTTATATAATGACACATACTTTGTGAAAGTTTCATGAAAAACCGCTGAATAGTTTTCGAGAAATCGCCTGCACAAAATTTTGTCAAAAAAAAGAATAATAATAATAATAAGAATAATAATAAGAAACAGTAGAATCACTATAAGGTCTTCCGTGAAGACGGAAGACCTTAATAATAAGAAACCGAGTAAAAACAATCTGTTCCCAAACTCCGTTTGGGGAACATAATAATAAGAAACAGAGTAAAAACAATATGTTCCCCAACTTCGTTTGGGGAACATAATAATTCAAAAAGAGCGAAAATAGCATTTTAACCTAGTAAATGAGAACGGTACCAAATTTCTAACATGTTTCAACTTAAAAATTTCCTCATATAAATTTACATTGATTCTACAAAGGTTTAATAAGTTTTCTAATTTCTTAAAGTTACTTTTACCCATATTTCGCCTGCAGAATTTTCTTTTTTACCCATAATGCATCAGAGTACCCAAAGCAATATAGCAAGTGATCCAAATCAAGTAGATTTTCGATTAGCACTTTGTATACAGTGGTCTTGCTTTAATAGCTGTAAAGTTGTTTCTCATATCGGACACAAATTCTGGAGAGAGTCCAGCAGGAAGAGTAAAGTAGTAAGTTCACTTCTCAACTGTTGATCATGTGTTTTCACAGGGACTTGGTTTTCAATAATATAAATTTGCTAATGAAACATATGGAGATAACGAACAGTATTCAAGATCAAAAGTCCATAAAACAAAATAGGAGCAGCTAAGGTTTGTAAAGAATTTGAAGGCAGGATCATGTATTCAATTACATAACAGCACTGATGTTTGTAGGACTGATGGATCTTGTCTGTCATGATACTGTCTGAGAACAGCCATGATGTTTCATTGGCGACTGGATATGATCCTTTTCCATAACAATCATCATCCCAAATATATCTTACTTGAACACAGACTGTTAGCAGGTATGGTAATCAATAAATGGTAATTTATTGTTGTTTTTAAATTACATGTACACTGAAAGAAATACCTAGTTCATTTAACTAGCGTGCCTCGTAAAGCGTTCGTCGTGATTAGTAATCATTCTGTTTACTGGCTAAGATAGTGAATAGTAGGTGTCACGTGGAGCGGTAGTCGTATAGAATTACTTGCCCGTGAAAATGAACAAAGAACTGATAAGAGAAGACAGGCTGACCTTCTTGTAACACGCCATTTTGAAGTCGGATGCAAGAGATGCAAGGTTGGTATTTTTATCATTCTTATTAATTTTATAAGAATATTGTGATAATTTAGCAGAAAACAGTGTTGAATTCATTTAACTATTGATATTCATAGTTATCAGTAATCCTTTTCCATGGCCTGGATCCTATAGAGAGGTAATTTGGTTTTAAATCCATTTGACTTCATCTTTAGACCCCTTTTAATGAAATGAGAGGTTAATCAAATTTTCATTTAAAATAGAGTTAAAATGTTGATTATGTATTGAGCATACCTTTTTTCAGATTCTTGATGAGTTCAAAAGATTGTGCCCCAACACAGTAACAGATGACATTGAGGAACTAATGGGAGAAAGCCTAAGGAAGTACCGAAAGGCAGTACTGAAAGTAAACACTGGAAAGTAAAAACCAACCTTCCTGAAAGAAATAGAACATACTTCGGCCCAATACAGAACTGAAAGTCAGAGAAATTGTAAGTCATTATTGTAAGGTTAAAAACTCCTTCAAATACTGTTTGAGGAATAAGATTCAGTGTACCATGATATATACTTGTATAATAAGTCTACCATCATCATGGTCCACTCTGATAGGCATTGGGTTCATAGAACACATTTTGTTTTTCAGATGCTGATGACTGCATAGCTATAATAGGATTATTTCTATTGTGCAAAGAGAACCCTGAAAAAATTCTTTTTTCAAGAGGACCGACTGCATGCACCCCCATGGCAATAAGAATTAAAATTAATCAGAACATTTTGTCCATGGACAATGAAGCATTTGAAATATTATTGGAAAATGAAAGCGTATTCAAATGTGAGAATTTTTTCCAAGCTTTTTGTGGGTTAATTGCTACATTTTATGTATTTAACATTGCATACCCAAAACCTGTTGAGAAAACATTCATGTTTTTTCAACAGGTAATGATAGGGTTGAAAGATGAGGGAGGACATCCCAACATGGATCAAAGAATTTTAGGGGTTTTGACAAACATCAACAGAGAGTTGAAAAACATTTAAGTTCGAATGATTTGTTTGGTTAGGCCTAAAATAAAAATAAGTTTGTTTGCAGTTGCCTACCGACCCACTGAAAATGCACCCGACCCAATTTTTTTAAGTCATTTTGTAATTTTATTATTTTTTTTTTTTTCAATTTTTCAGAATGTTGAAACGGTTTCATTTTCAAATTTTGACTGTTTTTTATCAATCAGTGGTTAATTATAGCAAGAGGTGAACTTATTCAAGTCTAGTAGGTGTATGAAAACCTCTTTTATTTGTTATCTAACAAAAAACCGATTTTTTATCCAAAAAAAAAAAGAATGCCTACCTACCGACCCAGTCTAAAAATTATAGGTCTGCAACTGCAAACAAAGAATTTTTTAAGCTTGGCCTTACCCTCATTTTCTAAGATGTTTTACTTCGAAAATTGTCTTTACTGCAAATGAGGATTTTCCAGTTATAACATTTCATCATCTTTCTGTTTGTATGTGTGTGTGTGAGAGAGAGAGAGATGTATTGCCAATTATTAGATGTTTTCATAATTGTAAAATATTTTGGGACTTCAATCAAATCAGTCCATTTTTCTTAACATTCAGATCTAGATTGTATAGAATATGTATTGACTATTAATTATTTTATCATATCATAATTAGAGAGAGAGAGAGAATAGGAGAGAGATCAGAGCTTTTTTTATTGATCTATTGGCTTAATAGTATGTATGTGTTCTTAATTTTTTACATAAATTAAGGATTAAAAAATTAATTTGATTCCATGTAAATTATATTTATTTTCATTTCTTAACTATAAGAGGTATATTAGTTGTGAAACAATTGAGTGGAAGATAAGGAAGTATAAGTGTCAATTAATTAGTATATTTACAAAAAGCATAGTACTTTACTGAACAGTGTAGTAAATTTACCCGCCAACTCTAGTAGGTCTACCTACTAGTCTACTGAAAGCTACTTTTAAAGACTAGTAAATTTACAGATGGGATCTAGTAGATTTACCCAATACCTAGTGAAAGTTGCTTATAAAGTCTAGTAAATTTACTAATAGTATCTAGTAAGTCTACCCAATACCTAGTGAAAGTTACTTTTAACATTAAATTTACTAATATAGTATCTAGTAAATCTACCCAATACCTAGTAAAAACTACTTTTAAGGCAGTGATTGTATGGACAGTAAATTTACTAGGTTTGTTAGTGACTTTTACTAGTTATTTTTTTCAGTGTAAATATTATATATTCTTACTGTACGTACACTAAGACAAAATGGCTACAAGCTATACATGTACATGTATTTACTAGTATACCAAAACTTTGGGGTGGCTGACTGGCTTACAGAGCGTCTTGCCCTGGACAGTGTATGGAATAGAACTGTCAATTTAGCAGGTGGTCCTGGTAGAAATCGACAAAGGTTATGCTGAGTCTATTGAGGCAAACCTCTCTGAAAGGCCATATACATTGTAAATATACCACGGATTTGGAATTGTTTGTTAAACTGCAGAACAGTTCTTTAGGTATAGCCCTGGCAGAAGCTTCAAAAACTACCTGGATTACAATTTCTCAGTCGAATCCAAGCATCCAGGAGAGATTGAAGAAAAAACTGTGTCGGCTGTCTAAAAGACTTGATAAGATCAAGAGGTGCACAGCAACAGATTAGAAAGGAAATTTAGGTAACAAGAAGACCCACATAATCCACTGTACATATGGATGCATTCATATAATTAGATTAATCAGCTCTTTCTTCTTCTCAGTTTAAAGTTTTTGAAGATATTTGTCCTTTGATGAATGTTAATTTGGATGCAATTACAAAAGATTTGTATCATTTCTTTTAGTAAGAACATACCCTTCTTTTCAGCATACTGTAGGATTAGCTTTTATGTAGTATTATTTACGTTAAAGCAAATAATCAAAATTATAAACATTTCTATTAATTTATGAAATTATTTATTGTCTTATGAGCAACTTAAATTGTGGTGAGTAACAAAGTGAAAAAAAAATGTCAGGTATTGTTGCAGGGGTGGGTTGTATCAAATCAAATAACAATCAAACTCAACTCCTGGCTAAAGGTTCATAAATTTTTATAATGGTTGATGTTCAATGTCATAAGAAAATAAATAGCCTGTCAGGTCTGGTCAAAAGGTTTTAAAACTTTGTCTAGAAAATATCTCTAATTTACATGTACAACACAGCCAACCTGACCAAAATCTCTGATTAGTCTATCAGAGAAAATTAAATCACTTTTATGTCCTATTCATGGTGTAAAGGTCGTAGATTCTTGGTCACCTGAATCTCAAAACTCAGGTAAGAAGCCCAGAAAATCTTTGGAGGATTTGAATTTACAGATTACCGAGGAAAACCTTACTCAAGTTCAGGTAAGTGTAGCCAAAGAATTTCTGGGGAAATGGACACACTTATTTTCTGATGGCCCAACAGACATTGGCAAGACCAAACTACTGAAGCATGAAATCAAGTTGACAGATGAGACGCCATTTAAAGATGCCTACAGACGTATACCACCAGGAATGTTGGAGGAAGTTCGACAACATGTCAAGGAGATGTTGGATATTGGTGCCATAAGACCATCCCAGAGCCCATTCTCATCTAACATTGTCCTGGTCAGGAAGAAAGATGGCAGTCTTAGATTTTGTATCTATTATAGGAAACTCAACGCACGTACCATCAAAGATGCTTACAACTTACCTAGAATAGATGACACAATAGACAGCCTGATAGGATCCAAATATTTCTCGAAATTAGACCATTTAGAATGCAACAGAATGGGTTTTGGACTTACGAATGCCCCAGCCACATTCCAACGGTTGATGGAACGCTGTATGGGTGAGTTAAATTTAAGAGACTGTTTAGTGTTTTTGGATGACATCTTAATATTCTCACAAACTTTTGACGAACATCTTGACAGACTGACTGCAGTGTTCAAAAGACTGGAAAAAAATTGTTTAAAATTAAAGGCTAAGAAATGTGAGTTCTTTAAGCACAGCGTGACATACTTAAGCCATGTGGTATGGAAGGAGTAGCCACTGATCCAGAAGAGGCCAAGGTGATTTCAACCTGGCCGAGACCTTACAACATCAAGACTCTCAGGACATTCCTCGGTTTTGCAGGTTATTATAGGAGATACGTCCAGAACTATTCCAAAGTGGTGAAACCATTGAATGACTTGCTGAAAGAACACTCCACAAATAAACAAACTAAAGGGAAGACAAAAAAAACAAACCTCCTCCATGGAAATGGGATGATGAGGAAGAGAGAGCTTTTCAGGCAATTAAAGGTAAATTAACATCCCCACCCATCCTTGCATTTGCAGATTTTGATGCATCATTTATTCTGCACACCGACGCATCAACAACAAGACTTGGAGCTGTCCTTTACCAAGACCAAAATGGACAAAAGCGAGTGATTGCATACGCCAGTAGAGGACTCAAGAACAGCGAGAAACATTATCCAGCCCACAAGTTGGAATTTCTCTCTCTGAAGTGGGCAGTGACGGAAAAGTTCCACGATTACCTTTATGGGAATACCTTCAAGGTTGTAACGTATAATAATCCCCTCACGTATATTCTTACTACTGCAAGGCTAGATGCAACAGGACATAGATGGCTCGCTGCACTGAATAACTACAACTTTTCTTTACAATACCGGAAAGGAGCCAATAACAATGATGCAGATGGTTTGTCAAGAAGACCACAGGACACTGAGGAAGTAGTTCCAGAAATGTTGAAGACAATCTGCAGTTCTTACACTATCCAGATAAGAGAGACCATTGTCCATTGGTGGAAAATGTACTTCTACCCATCAACTTCCCAACATGGATGACCATCAGTTTACAGGACAATGGGGAAGCAGGTAACTGTTCAGATATATCACAACCCCTAACCCCTATCCTTGACTCCATTCAGATAGATGACTCATGTGTATTTAGCTCTACTGGTCAGAGACCAGAAGAGCTTGCGATAGTAATGCGTCGGCGTCCGTCCGTCCGTCTGTCTGTAAACAATTTTTCAAAATGCTACTCCTCCTACAGTTTTGGTCCGATTTCAATATAACTTGGCACACAAGTAGTCTACACTAAGATACATAATTCTGTGCATCGGTTTTGATTTCGATGAACGATGTTCCCTTGGTTACTAAAAATAGAAATTTCTATGAAAAACATTCAAAATGCTACTCCTCCTACAGTTTCGGTCCGATTTCAGTATAACGCGGCACACAAGTAGACTACAGTAAGATACATAATTCTGTGCATCGATTTTTGATTTCGATGAACGGTGTTGCTGTGGTAACTAAAACGTGGTAATTTCTGTGAAATTCTTTCAATATGCTACTCCTCCTACAGTTTTGGTCCGATTTCAATATAACTTTGCACACAAGTAGACTACAGTAAGATACATAATTCTGTGCATCGATTTTTGGTTTCGATAAACGGTGTTGCCATGGTTACTAAAAATAGAATTTTCTGTGAAATTCTTTCAATATGCTACTCCTCCTAGTTTTGGTCCGATTTCAATATAACTTGGCACACAAGTAGACTACACTAAGATACATAATTCTGTGCATGGGTGTTTACTTTCGATTAACGGTGTTGCCATGGTTGCTAAAAATAGAATTTTCTGTGAAATTCTTTCAAAATGCTACTCCTCCTACAGTTTTGGTCTGATTTCAATATAACTTGGCACACAAGTAGACTACAGTAAGATACATAATTCTGTGCATCGATTTTTGGTTTCGATAAACGGTGTTGCCATGGTTACTAAAAATAGAATTTTCTGTGAAATTCTTTCAATATGCTACTCCTCCTAGTTTTGGTCCGATTTCAATATAACTTGGCACACAAGTAGACTACACTAAGATACATAATTCTGTGCATGGGTGTTTACTTTCGATTAACGGTGTTGCCATGGTTGCTAAAAATAGAATTTTCTGTGAAATTCTTTCAAAATGCTACTCCTCCTACAGTTTTGGTCTGATTTCAATATAACTTGGCACACAAGTAGACTACACTAAGATACATAAT